ATAAATCAAGGGCCCCTTACAGGCCCCACCCATACTCTGCAGCAAGCGCCACCCTTGTCTCGCCTCCATGCACCGCCTCCAGCCACACCCTACACAATCTTTAGACACAAGGAACAAAAGTGCAATAAGCCCTTCGAGGCCCCAGTAGAGACTACAATTGAGGGCTAATGGGCCATGGAGGAGGGTCTTTCTAGCAGAGGCTATCTCAGTGTCCTTTAGAGAGTGTGTTAGAAAGAATCCCCTCCAAGCCCCATTAGAGACTACAATGGAGTCTAATAAGCTTGGAAGGGGGTCTTTCTAACAGAGGCCATCTCAGCGTCCATTAGATAGCCCCTGCTGGAAACAGTCGCCTCCAGGCCCCAGTAGAGACTACAATTGAGGGCTAATGGGCCATGGAGGGGATTTCTAGCAGAGGCTATCTCAGTGTCCTTTAGAGAGTGTGTTAGAAAGAATCTCCTCCAGGCCCCATTAGAGACTACAATGGAGTCTAATGGGGCCTGGAGGGTGGTCTCTCCAACACTCTGGTTCCTATTCACAATATAGCAACACAACATAGCTCGCTGATACCTAGGCCAAGTTGGCTCCTCTTACTTTAATTATTGTTGCTGGCTGGCAGTCTGTGGGCTTACTGGCTGCGGCTGGCAGGCTGTGGGCTTGCTGCTACTGCCGGCAGGCTTTGGGCTTGCTGCCTGCGGCTGGCAGGCTGCGGCTTGCTGCCTGCGGCTGGCAGGCTGCGGCTTGCTGTCTGCGGCTGGCAGGCTGCGGCTTGCTGTCTGCGGCTGGCAGGCTGCGGCTTGCTGCCTGCGGCTGGCAGGCTGCGGCTTGCTGCCTGCGGCTGGCAGGCTGCGGCTTGCTGCCTGCGGCTGGCAGGCTGCGGCTTGCTGCCTGCGGCTGGCAGGCTGCGGCTTGCTGCCTGCGGCTGGCAGGCTGCGGCTTGCTGCCTGCGGCTGGCAGGCTGCGGCTTGGTGGCTGCGGCTGGCAGGCTTTGGGCTTGCTGGCTGTAAGCCTGTGGCTGGCTACTGGCCTGTGGGCTGGCTAACTGGCTGGCTACTGGCCAGCCTGTGGGTTGGCTGGCCGGCCTGTGGGCTGGCTGGCTACTGGGGCACTTGTAGATTATTTAAAGAAATAATCCATGCACAATAACCACTACTGCTCCAGAGTAAGTAGTCAAACCGTTTAAGTTTGACAACTTACCTGGGGTCTGCTGGGATATGGGGCTGTAGTAGGGAA